CCAACCGTTATCTTTTGTTCATTGACGCAACGTTACCTGATTATTAAGGGCAGTTACAAAAAAAGCAGTTACGAACATAGCCAATAAAATAAATAAATAAATAAACGCAGTTATCCATAATTGATGTGCCGCGTTCGGCGCCCGTCCGGAGTGGAGTGCTGCATGGATGTCACCCAAGGCCGACAACAAGATACAATTTATGAATTATAGCGCTGGTAACAATGCCGAGAGCGCATGCACAGCCTCGCTGTATATTTGTAGGTTGCCCTTGCTATAGGCGCGCCATGATTAGCACACCAATAATATTCTTGCGGGCATTGTTAAGTAAGCCGCGTGATAGATAACAAAGGTATCCGCGAGATCCGTTATCGTGATAGTAAGCAATTTAATCTGCACATAGAAAGGACCGAACGAGATCCAAGCTCGTAACGAATCGGGTCATGCCGCATCAGAGTGACTTAAGGATCTCCATGAACAGGACAGACTCAGAGAGTCCCGCGCTAACCTCATTTTCGTCACGGCCAGATCTTATTTGTCTAATAAAATTAATGATAAGAAACAGAACCCAACTTGGGTAGAATAAAATGCAAGACTGCAATATTATATCGACATGATCAATGTAAATCCGCGAATTGCTTGCTTGCAATCGCGCTGCGTGTGTGATATATATATATATATATATATATATAACCAGAAAACTAGAATATAATGTTATCACATCCTCCTTAGACCGTGCCATTGATTCGCGCCCGAGATTTACTGAGCGCGTAAATATTTTTGATAAAATTATACATGTAGTGAGCATATACGCGGAAGTAATTGTGGTTTCGAAATTTTGATATCTCAATTTTTTTATCTGTCGTTTGCATATTTATGATTTCATGTAGTATTGCTGTAAATGAGGTTTGAATTAGAATGACTAATTACCTATAGACAAATATTCAACGTAACAGTAGTCATGCTGTATATAACGCTTGTACTTGGTAAATAAATAACTATACATAAAAACGTGGCCTTGTTCATTACTACCGTCGAAACGATATACAACACAGTCACAGTTATCTAATTAACATTATAATGAGAAATCCACACAGTTAATCATAAATGGCCGTTTACTAAAAGAATTCACACCTCGCGAACTTCATAACGCAAGTATATACTTTCTTGATCTGAGTAGCTATATCATTTAACATAACCGTGCATCATATTCCAGATATCTATACACACTGATATCAACGCATTGGCACAGTAGTAGCATCGAAAAAGGTTAACAAAATCCGTGTTTTTTTATTCTAGATTCCGCACAATCTGCAACAGATTGAAGTTAACAATAATGGTAAAAACGTACATATAGCTGTATGCCACTTTCACTGCTATAAAACAACGAAACACTCGAATAATATGTTACGCGATAAAAATTCATGATGAAAAAACTAGGAATCAATTTTTCTTTGGAAACATATCGTCTAACTAGCAGTTTCTAATGGCGGTGCACATATGAACGCACAGTCATAATAACCAACTTTAAACAAGGATGCGTTTGACACTGACTGCATAGAAAAAAAGATCTCAAGACCAGTTCTGTCTGCAAACTAAAACATTTCGCTTTCAAAGCACCAACGCAGATGCTGTACGGTATCGACACCTACCAGCTCTACAATTTATGACTCCGAAAACAGTAATGTGCATTATATACACTCTTACACAGCCAGCGTCATTATAATGCCACTCTAGCTAAAACAATTCTAACGGCAACAGTCAAGGATTCAAACTAGATTAACACTCCCATTCATTCGCGTGACACGATTCTGTCCTGTAAGATTTCGGTTCGTTTAGTCGCCCTACTTATAGCTGTGATATATGATATAGCTCGCCTGAGAAACCTGAGTCAAATCGTTGAACTGGAACCGAACACTGCAAATCGGTAGAGCTATAGAACGAGACCAGTTCTACGTGAATTAACATCGCGTCATCACATCCCCTACACAAATAACATTTTAAAATAGCTTTCCACGCACGCACGCACGCACGCACGCACGCACGCACGCACGCACACACACACACACACACACACACTATATAGTACACATGATCTTTACATCTCATTTCGAACACCCTGTCTTCATTACAAAACTCATGTAAAAATAAAGTGCCACGTTGAACTGACACTGAAAATCGTGGTAGTCACACAACACAACTATTTACAGCATGGGATCAATACGACTTTGGCTTTAGAAACAGAGTGACACTAACAGGAGTGTCATAATATAGACGAGTATGACTAGCTCGAAACACAAGAAATTCAACCTTTCCATGACCTAGTTTACCTACGATTTATTACGCGAAGCTCAATACTGGCGGCACCCGCCCATGAAAACTATGAATGTCTTCACTAGCCCAGTGGCACACGAAAATTGTTATTAATAGAAACGACATCAGAATTAGCGTTGTACATACCACTTGCCCTGACACTTTACCTTGTATCGATACCTCTTCTTATTATGCAGTTATAGCTTCGAACGTCAGACATGGTTTTAGTCATTCACCTATTCACTAGGGCATGGAAATGTTGAATTTATTTTGTTTCGAGCGAGCCATACTCCTTTATATTATGACTTTCCTGATACTAGTGGTAGATTAACCCGCATAATCAGGGTAATTACCGCAAACTGTTTGTTTGATAACGATTCACATAATTGTGGGTATGCCACTATCATATGAAGGCACTACTACAATCAGTAATTTCATGCATTTTACATTCCTTACCTATCTCCTACTACTGTTTGCTGTGCTCATCATAAAACATTAAAATTCATAGTTGTGTAAGATGTGACACCTATATTGAACTCACCGATCGTTTCTATCAGTGCTGACAGTTTGACAAATGTGCAATTAAACAGTTATATTATTCTGCTTACACGTTTACACCATCCAAGTCTGTACCGACTCAAACGCTTGCATAACATTGATGTTGAAAATTAGGAGAAAAGCAATTCACATTATAACAAGCAAATGCGAGATCCACTAAAAAATCTCAAAGAAACCAACTCAAAAAGAGCAAGGTGAAAATAAAGTCTTCAGTCAGACATTCAATGTATACACACGTCAGCATTATACACACGTCAGCCGAGTCTAACGCATACGGCACCTTCCGATTATATAAAATATAATTGCCGTTAAGAAAAGTGTAATTGCCTTGCAAATAAAATGCAACGTAGGCTCTGCATATTGATTAGCAGGCATTCGTCCACAGCAATTAATTGTAATGCCTAAATCCTCCCCTCCTTTTCGAGCAATCGACTACTACACCGCAGTATGCCTATCTATCCTCTTACCAATGCTTTTAGCTTTGTCAAGTTTCTGCCCCATTTCTTACATCACTATCACACCTCCATATTCCCTATTCTGTTGCTCTTTCATCTCCTTTCCCATCCCTCCCTGTTAGCTCTTGTCTCTGCCTCCTCCAATCAGGAGCATAACATTTGAACTTTCGTCAAACGAGGTTATCCTCCTCTGCTTGTAATCCATCGCTCTCCTGTGAGTATCCAGGCATCGGAAGCAGGTAAAGCCCAGCGCACACGTGAGTAATTTTACTCACGTAAAATGACGCATGAGTCAAAATACTAATGCGTAATAGTTTCAGCGTTCGCCGCACACGTGAGTAAAATTACTCAAGCAATAAGTGGTAATGAAGATCACGTGACTGTGCGCAGCTAATACTGGGCGCACAATGATTTAAACGCATGCACTGTGAGTACCAGTGTTGAGTAAATTTACTCAGCACGCGTGCACACGTTGAGTAAAATGACGCATGAGTCAAAAATGATCAAACACGTTTGATATTGAGTAAAAGGACACATGCGTCAAATTACTCAACGAAAATCCGCCGCACACGTGAGTAAAATGACACATGCGTCAAATTACTCAACGAAAATCCGCCGCACACGTGAGTAAAATGACTCATGCGTAATTTTACTTCAGTAAAATTACTCACGTGTGCGCCGGGCTTAACAGCAAAAAGGTAACATGACGACGCGGGTTGGCAATACCCTTCTGCTTTGATTATGACGCTGACGCCAGGAGCCGGGGACACGGACAGTGCATGTCTGGCTCGTGTGGAGATTGCGTACGCAGCTTGGTTGACAGAGATCTAAACCTAACGGCATATCTTCTCTGTCATTTCCTTCTGCAAAATACAAATCAGCATTTTGTTCTACCAAGTTGTTTTCCATTCAGAAAAAAAGCCTTTCTGATATGGATGTTCATGCAGGCATGGAGGGTCAGGGTTGCAAGGAGAACTAAAGACAATAATGTTCAAGGAATAATTTTATCTGTCTCTATCTGTGTCTCTAAAATCTTTAAACCTATGAAATTTTCACAAAATTTTACAAGTAAATGGAAACAATTTTAAAAAATTCAACGAAACTTACAAAAAGAGAAGAAATATTATTGGCTGGCACCTATAGAATAATCCAACAAGTGCCGCGGAGCGACAGCGCTCATCTAATGTCTACTGCGGTGACTCTGTGGTGGAGTGGTGCGCCGAAACAGTGGAATGCACAGGGATGGTATCAGGAACCTTCTCAAAAGAATGTTCGTTGGGATCGTTATGAAAGTTGCCACGAGATGGCGCGTACGTTTAAGTGTCTTCAGATTAAAGATGGAAGCTCTCATCGTACGTAGTAGCAACAACTATTTGCAAGACAGAATAGGTAAGCACTCATCCATTTACCTACGCAAGCCTACAGGCTGCAAATTGCAATAGAGAGCTGCCACCTGTAACCAATTAACGCAAGCAAAAACTGCACCAACACATGCACTGGCAGCAGCCACTGGCAGTGGCATACGTTACATGTAACATACTGACAGTACAGAATGCCATAGAAATTATACGATTTAAGGAACATACACCTTCTTTAACCAAATTTAGCTTTTGAAATTTCACTGTGACATTGTAGCCTCATACATCCAGGCATGTATAGATTCTACTAGCAAACCCGGCAGTCAAATTCTTTCTAACAGACAGTCAACAAATCCTAGTTTAACCCTCCTCTTGAGGGTCAAAAGGTTATCTGACACTTACTCTTCGCATGTCAGCAAAAAGTAGATTTCATGGTCCTTTCAATAATGCCATAAAAATGCTAGGTCACCGCTGAAACAAAAAAGTTTTTCAATCGCTCCGTCAGACCATGTCCTCAGAAAATGTCTAAAATCTGCCCTGTGCCCATTGACCTTTGACCTGTGGCCTCCAATTTCGGCACAGTGATGGCTTTTCCTACCATGATGCTATACACCAACTATCACGAGCCTAGGTCGAGCCATTTAGATTTGTGCCGCAATTCTGCATTTCTTCCCTATACCTTAAGTTAAGGAGTGAATGTTCCCCCTTCTTTTACACCTCTTGACCTTTGACCTTTGACCCCCAGCTTCGACATCCCAACTCGTTTTGACGATCCCCCCCAGTGTGCCGAATATCGTGACCGTACGTCGAGCGGTTAAGATTTGTGCCCAACTGTTGACGGACGCACGGACGCACGGACGGACGGACGGACGGACGATCAAGCGATTCTACAAGCTGCATCTGACTATGTCAGATGAGCTAAAAACACATGATTGTTAAACTATACTGAATGTGCAATATAAACAAAAATGTTGAGAGATCTAAAAAATGTCAAGTATGTGGAAGGATATCAAGGTGAAATGGGTTTAAAAAGATTTACTATATATATTGTGTTTTTAAAGGCAAATAATGGTTTTTTAATCTATAGATGGTGCATCTTTCCTTCTAGCCATCTTTAATAATAGTAATGGCATATCAACTGGTTTATATTGATTCCTTCTAATATTATTTTAAATAGTACTCAACTCAGTTTTATTGATTAATTAATAATTATGTTTTATTGAGACAGCCAAGTTTTAAATCCCAAAAGGTAAAAGCTTACACATACTCACCAATGGTTCCAATTCTCGCCTTTCTATCAAGTTGAACTCCGTGACAAAGTAGTAAAAATGCTTGTAGCAGGTATTAATGTGTGCTTCCTAGAAACAAACAGCATATCAAATAAATTAATTACACAATAGGCTCATCATACGGGTGAATGCTATACTGTCGTTCCTGCTGAAACTGCTACCGCTGCACGCGTTAATACGGTGAATACTGCTGCTGTTTGTTGCTGATTCTGCTATTGCTGTTGTTGTTGTTGTTGTTGTTGTTGTTGTTGTTGTTGTTGTTGTTGTTGCAGCTAATAGTGCTAGTGCTGTTACTGACACCTCTGCTGTTTGTGCAATGGCTGCTGACATGGCTGCTGCTTGATCAAGCAAATTAAGATAGCTAGAGACCATACTAGCCAAGGGGCTCAAGTTCAATACTTTAAAGATGTCTTCAAGAAATCACGGTTTACCCTCTAAGGTCACAACCTCACAACATCACAACAACAAGAAAGAACTCTCATTGTTGAGAACCAAACCGACTCAAAACGAACGTTACAACGTCACGACAAAAAGCCACCCGTTGTTAACAAGAAAACGTTGACTGTGAACTTACGGCACCGATCGTGACGAGCCTGTCGAAATGGTGAATGTAAACGTGAACGAACACGCGGAACAGTCGAGTCAGGATCTTCTTGCAGGTCGGCTGAAAGTTCTTTGGGAACGGCACATCTGGAATGCGACAGAACACGAATTGTGAGTTGGTGTTCGGAAAGAGTGTTGAACTAGACATACCGCGCCATGTACAAACACGAATTATGAGGTGGTGTTACGAAAGAGAGTGTTGCACCACATATACTGCATAATGCACAGACTAGCACATGGAAAGAGTATGTCTGGATTACGGCAGAACACAAATTGTGAGGTGGTGTTAGGAAAGAGAGTGCTGCACTGCACATACTGCATGATGTACAGACTAGCACATGGAAAAGGTACTTCTGGAATGCGGCAGAACACAAATTACGAGGTGGTATTAGAAAAGAAAGTGCTGCACACCATGTGCAGACTAGCAGATGGAATTCTGTGAGGGTAGAGGGCATAATATCGGACCGTGTTCATTTAGTGTTAACAAAACGGTTCTATGGCATGCCTCAAGCTTGTGCAAGCAATTGTGGGAAATATGGGTCATTATGCTATCTATCCATGAAGTGCAATTTAGATAATAGTTTTTTCGAAAGTAAGCCTTCAAGATAGGAGAAAAATTTACGTGCTATATATTTGGCATCCACGTAGCTCTTTCAGTTGTTCCATACAACAAATTAATTATTTGCATGTGATTATAATTTTGTAATACCAATATACATGAACATACCACCAAAACTGTGCCGAAAAGTACTATACCATGGCCACAACGAAGACTTCTACAGCGACCGTTATGTCACCATTTCAACACATACACAGTCTTATTGTTGGTATCCACAACTTCAAGCATTTGCACAGGTAGCCGTTGTCCTTAATTGCACTCTGCTGCAACTCTGTTGCTGCGCTGATATACTGACCTGCCCTGATAGGAAATATGTCTTCATTGTTGATCTGAGATTCCACCCAGTCCATCAGAAGAGCGATGTACTGATTAGCCGGTAGTGCTGTGGGCTTCTTGTACTTGTTGCCATCTGCCCAGTGATATTCATACCTGCATGAGAGAAAGCCACGAGTAAGTTTACCTGTGTGCACTGGTTCTTAAATGAATCCTGTTGGAATGTGTTAATTTCTAGCTAATCAATCCTCTATTAATCTCACCATCAATAATCAATCAATATGTCCATAACCATTTACTTCGGATATTCTTATATATTATAGTTATAGGTATAATATATAATATATAATATTTATAACGTAATAACGAATATGTTACCAACAATATTAATAACATATTCCTATATAGATGACGCACCCCTACACAACAAAATGCTCGTAATTTTTAACACAAAAAGTCACAATATGGAACAATGAAAAAAATTGAAATTAGAATTTATTTGGAGAAGATTTCATACCAAGCCTGGGTATGCAATCTATTTCAAACCTCACTTCTGTCAGGCCAAATTTAAAAGTCTATGTTACATATTATCATATTATAGAATAATCAATGTATATGCTAAAACTGTTTATTTGTTATTCATACGGGTGCTTGTATTACTTTTTAAGGAATCCCTGGACAAGGAAACATAACATATTGGAGAGCAATTGGAAAACCAGTGAGTTCTGCCACAATTATGCACGTAAACACAATGATGAAACACCGAAACTGGTCGCATTGTCTGCCATGTATGCACGACCATGGCACATTTCTCTCTAGCTTTTACATAACAACGGTTTGGCTGGCATAAACCTTTTCAGCTGCTAAACACGGCTAATGTCGCATTCTCTTTTGAAGGTTGAAACGTAAAAGGAAGGTTCAATACAACCGAAACCACCTACTTTGGTCCACCGGACATCGTGGGACACGTCTGTTCTGTGCAGGAGTCACACACCGTCCCGTAGAGCAGGTTGATTCTGTTGAAAAAGTCGACAACTGAAACAGCAAAACATACGTTAGATTTGTAAAACAAAATACGCAAAGCAAGTAACACAAAAACAAGATAAAGCATTTCTGCACGTACGTTACAATCATATATGATTGTAACGGGATATATCGAGAATGCGGGAGGATGGAGTGGGGAACTGGTACTGTTAACAGCGCGCGAAATTAACGTGAGTCCGCCGGAGACGAATACTCCCTGATTTACTGCCGGACTCCTTGATTTGACATATGCAGGAGTCCGTGTGACTCCCTGAAAATTCTGCTGAGCATGGCCTCGCGGATATGCCGTATTTTTTCAGCAAATGTCCCAAGGCAATTTGGCAGACGTGCAACCGCATGAATCTTCAAAATAAGCACACGCGTTAATCTTAATATCTTTAGTTTTGAACTTCAGACTGCGGACTCCCTAGCTCTTCTTGAGGGCAGGGCGTCCGTTGGACTCCCTTGTTCAAAAGTTAATTTTTACCACTGGGTACATACGGCATAAGAGGAAGACCAGGGTGAAGTCAGACCTTACGAGATAGTTAATGGGAGGAAAATACAAGGTTTCTCCAAGGACATATACACCGTTGCGCAACCATCCAGAAAGGACAGAGAACGGTGTCAGACGTAATCTACATGATATTTCTCATGAATTATTAACATAGATGAATCATAACATGGTTTTCAATTTGGTTGGAATTTTGAATGTAAATTTCCATCGATTTCAGGTAGAGATTACTCGGCGAATAGACACGTATCAAAATTGGGACGAAAAAGAATTGTACTTCACAGTAGATTGCCGGTGAATCTACAAAAATTGCTCTCACTATGGTTACGATGACTGTACTGGTAATGTAACCTAATTCAAAGGCAAGACTGTTCCCAGCTTCTAAGCAGAAAACACATTCTAGTAATAATATTACTAGGCAATGCACGTACGTCACACTCAAGATTTACTAAGGGAATGTTTTTTCCACGAGTAATTTATTGAGCCTATATCTGTTTTGGCATCGAAAGATGTTCGGGATATCCAATTTCAAGCTTCGGCGGATAACAAAGGCAAAATTCAAACCACGTATTTTCTATCCTTGAGATTTCTTGAAAACGGATCTAATCTCGTGCGGTGTTTGCGCGTTTTTCACGGTTCGTAAATGTATATTGACTTTGCAGAGCATATAGTTTGCTTGTCGAAAATGGATTCGCAGTACAGCACACATGGCCCAAGTGTTACTGTGTTAATATGGCAAATACTTTACAAGGTCACACAAGTCGTTAAAATGTGATAAAACACATACCTGGGAGAAAATTCAATAAACACATAAACTGTCCGTGGTTGCACGTCGTCACACTTACGAAAATGAAACAGAGTCCTTGACAATACTTAGACTGCTAAATTGAAAGTGATTACGTCCCCGTAAATACAAAAAAAAAATTTAACTGCTGCATTATTATTCCTATTTTACTATATTGTTCGATGTGAACATACACGCGTGACTCATACATAGCCCATAGCAAGCAATTAATGTCAGGAACATAACATCAAATCGTCCAGTTTTTTTAGATTTTTAACTAGTTGAGAAACAATCTTATCAGGTAAGAATTTGATGATACGTTTAGTCCCGTTAGTTCTTACTTTTAATGTAAAAAAATGGCAACAAAAATTTTACAAATTTTACCATAGAAAATTCGTGACGTAGTCAATTGAACGGGTCAACAAGACAAAGTTAGAACTGGCACTTTTTTCTTGCAACATACATACGGTACATGAGTCATGGTCCTATATAGCATATTTACTAGTTGCACAGAATGTAGACTCTCTCTAGGCATAGTCAGTATAGTGATGGGAAAATATTGATGGAAACAAGATGCAGGGAAGAGGGAGTAGAGGGAGATGGAGGAGAGAAATAGATTAAGAGCAAGAGACAGACAGACCAATTACAGACGGACTGGCGGACAGATATAGACAGACAGTTAGACACAATGATACAGAAATGACATGAAGAAAACATGAAGTTTGAAGCATGAAGAACACAGAAGACTTACCATGTACTGCCAACCAGTCAGTAATGTCTTCGCCATGTGGCAGCACGACAGCATTTTTCAGATCTATGCCGGAGTTGAGAGACGCTTGTGCCTGCTTGTGTAGCGAATACTTCAGAGTTCCCGGCTCAAACTTCTTCTTCGGTCGAAACGTCTGCAACAAGAACATAATCCCACTTGAAATTCTGCCCTAAAACCATAGTTCAAAATACACAGAGAGTCAGAGACACTATACATTGTCTAGCTAGTATTATGTCTATGCATGCACTAGATAGAACATATAGGCCAATAAAACATATAGCAGACTATTAGCACACGACCATGCGTGTAGCCTTAAGCCCGGCGCACACGCGAGTAATTTTACTCAAGTAAAATGACGCATGAGTCATTTACTCACGTGTGCGGCAGATTTTCGTTGAGTAATTTGACGCATGCGTCATTTTACTCAATATCAAACGTGTTTGATAATTTTTGACTCATGCGTCATTTTACTCAACGTGTGCGCGCGCGCTGAGTAAATTTACTCAACACTGGTACTCACAGCGCATGCGTTTAAATCATTGTGCGCCCAGTATTGGCTGCGCACACTCACGTGATCTGCATTACCACTTATTCCTTGAGTAATTTTACTCACGTGTGCGGCGAACACTGAAAATATTACGCGTGAGTATTTTGACTCATACGTCAATTTACTTGAGTAAAATTACTCACGTGTGTGCCGGGCTTTACCATAACACAAATACATCATATAACCATTCAGTTCATCAATGTTATTCATAACCACGCAAACATCAATTAAAATATGATGCTAATTTATTTTGATAGTTATGAATAATGAATATAACCCGAATATAATCTAATATAAAATCTTGACATCACTCATAGTTAAAATACTAATATTCAGTATATATCAGGAGTAGATAATACTAATAGGGATTCCCTATTATCTATACTCCTGGTATCAATGGAGTCAAATACTCCCTGATTTACTGTCGGACTCCCTGATTTGACATATGCAGGAGTCCGTGTGACTCCCTCAAAATTCTGCCATACTAACTATAGTTCGTTCCGGAGCACGGCCTCACAGAATTACTGTATTTTTTCAGCTAATGTTCAAAGAAAATTTGGCAGACGTGCATGCAACTGCATGAATCTTAAAAATAAGCACATGCGTTATTGTTAATATCTTTAATTTTGAACCTCAAACTGAGGACTCCCTTATTTTACTGCGGACTCCCTTTTTTTGAAGTTCGTCGGACTCCCTTGTTCAAAAGTTAATTTCTACCCCTGTAACTATATATCTGAATGTCACTGTAGGATTACACTAGGAAGGTAGGACTGATTCCATCAAGGGCGTATTAAGAATGAACATCCTTAATATGCTCTTGGTTCCATATATTATAGCTGACTGATAATAGTGACCCATGTATGTGCATCCATCATGTACATCGAAAGAATCAGAAGTAAATAAAAAACGTTTTTATCCACCCCTGATGAAATCACAGTCATTCTTAATTACTGTAAAGTCACTTATTTTCGTGGATCCCAATTTTCGTGGTTTCGATAAAAAACATGTTCGTGGATTTTTAAATTCGTGGATTAAAATTGTAGAACCGGCACTTGACATCTGTGCATCGTATTTCGTTGGGAACGTAATTCGTGGATTGACAGACCAACGAAATCCACGAAAATTGGTACCCCACGAAAAAAAGAAATTTACAGTATATCTGCATCAGGAAGTAGGGTTAATCCTTTGCAACAGGAACTCTGTTGTCCCTACGGTCGGTGATTACATGAACTTTTACCATTGCTTTATAAATGTTCAAAATCGACAGTGAAACTAACGTGTTTGTTGAGTAATTGTACTGTTACAGTAGCTAATCCGGGGCAAGCACTACACAACTAGGGTATCTACAATAATTTGGGGGATTAAGTACACAATGCAACCCGTATATATATAAATACATATATATATATATATGTATATATATATATATATATGTGTGTGTGTGTGTGTGTGTGTGTGTGTGTGTGTGTGTGTGTGTGTGCGTGTCGTGTGCGTGCGTTGCGTGCGTGCGTGTGTGTGTGT